CTTTCTGTAATCAAATTATAATTGAAAATGAATAGGAAATGGAGGCAGGAATTTTGCAAGTTAACGTTATGGATGTTAAGGGTTTCCGGTTTTGATGCGAATAGGAAATGGATGTATAGCAAAATCTCTTTTGCTATACATCCATTTCCTATTCGCATCGTGCGTTGCGTTTTTTTACTTTTTTAAATCTTTTATTATTAGGTGAATGGCTTTGGTATCACTGGATGTAGCAGAGCTATGTTGGCGAATAGGATTTCTTATTGGCTAGGAGTGACTGGACCATCTTATACTCTGGATTCTGCCTGCAGTTCGAGCTTACTCGCTCTAGAACACGCCTATCGGTGCCTGCAAGACGATCTATGCGATGCTGCCATTGTGGGCGGATCAAACTTGTGCCTTCATCCCTTCGTCTCACTGCAATTTTCTCGTCTCGGTATAATTCCTCGTTTTCAATTTCCGCACTAATCCGTATAACATAAAAAGAAATTACAAACGCTCATATATAAAAAAAAAAAATATAATACAGTACTTGTTATCAATACCGAGATTGATTTCATTAAAAGTATATATAATTAATATTTACTGTTCACTGTTTATGTAGAAAGAGAGTGTAGAATTAATATAGTCAATATAAACATAGTCAAAATAAATTTTAGTTAATTTAATTCATCGAAATAGAAAAAGATGGAAAGCAAATTAAATTGAAATTAAATCGATATACATTGGCGTAAAGTAGTAAGTGGAAAATATAAAATAAGATCTTTTATATAAAGTTCCAATTGAAAATATAATAGGATCATTTTTGTATATATTCAATAACAATGATAATTGCAGGGGTCTTGTCGCGTGATGGTCGGTGTAAAGCGTTTGACAACGATGCGGATGGCTACGCTCGCAGCGAAGCGATCGTCGTCGTATTCCTACAAAAAGCGAAAAACGCGAAACGAATCTACGCCAGGGTGGTTTACGGTAAGTCGAATTGCGACGGTTACAAAGAGCAGGGCATCACGTTTCCATCGAGCACGATGCAAGGCGAACTGCTACGAGAATGTTATGAGGAGTGTGGCGTATCGCCGAAAGATCTGTCCTACATGGAGTGTCACGGTACCGGCACCAAAGTCGGCGATCCTGAGGAGATCATCGCAATTGATAAAGCCATTTGCAAAAACCGAACTGCTCCTTTACTAATAGGATCTGTTAAGACGAATATGGGTCATTCCGAGCCTGTTTCCGGGCTGTGTCAAGTTGCCAAGGTAATCCCTTTTTAAGAAATGCTATGTGTTTATTAAGACTCAATTGATCTTCAATTATTTATATATTAATAAATGTTAAATTAAAAGGGAATATAAACAATAGTAAAAAACAGCTTTTTTTATTAAAAATGATTAGATTTTAGTCAGTGAAGTTAGTAGGCTATGATTGAGGAATAATATCATCAATTTTTAATCATTTACATATTATATTAAATGTATTATATTAAAATTAAACTTATAAGGTAAATGAAAAGGTATTAAATAAATTAAAATCAAAGATATAAATGTCGGAATAAAGTGTATGATTAATCTAAAATAATTATTATTTGGTTATTAAAATTTAGATTTAAATTAACCAAAGCAAATTCAGTATCCGAATAAATAAATCGAGAAATTTAGAAATTATAATTATCCAAATAATGTTAAAATTTATTATGAATTAACATATGAATCAATATTTGAATAGCAAATTATGTCATTGTATTTATATTTTATATTAAAATTTTTCCTTAATAACGAGATTAAGCTTAATCGAGCAAATCACGTCGAAAATACCAGTTCTTCTCCGATTATTGAAGTCAAATAACGTTGGGCACGGTACTCGAGTACTCGAGTAATCGCTTGAGAACACCGTTGTCTAATTTTTTTGTATTTTATGTATTTATTCTCTTATAACAGAAAATAATATATAACGATGTAAGAAGGGAAGAGATTGGATTACGACGTATTACGTATTAACTTATTAATTTGCAATATTTATTGTAGATACTAATAGCAATGGAAACTGGATTGATCCCTGCAAATTTACATTACAATCGACCACGAGAAGGCGTAAAAGCTCTCGAAGATGGCAGAGTTAAGGTCGTCACTGAATCCACACCTTGGAACGGTGGTTATGTGGGTATTAATTCTTTCGGTTTTGGCGGTGCCAACTGTCATATCGTATTAAAATCCCATGAGAAGGAAAAATTAAATAAAGGAGCACCATCCGATGATTTACCGAGACTCGTAACGGTGTCTGGACGTACCGAGGAATCTGTTAATGTGTTCTTAAATGATGTGAGTAAAGATAAAAAAAATATATATAAGAAATTAAGATATTAAGAGATCATACAAAAATTGAATAATATAAAAAACAGAAAATGAAGAGAAAAAAAATATTAGCCATAGATTGACGATGGAATTATAAATTATGATATATCTTCGTGCATTTTTCTAAGATTTTACGAGACTTCGAAAGGCAAAATATTTTGCCGAGATAATTACTATCACTTAGAATTTATGAAAAAATATATTTACAAATTTATATTCTTTTTTATAGATTGAGAAACATGCGGTAGATGTTGAGTATATTCGGTTGCTGCATGATATTCATTCTGAAGATATCCAAGGACATCTTTATCGAGGATATACGATAGTTGGTTCGAAAACGGCGGAGCGTCCCACGAGAGAAACAGAAAATTACTTAGGAACTGTGAGACCAATTTGGTTTGTGTTTTCCGGTATGGGATCACAGTGGCCCGGCATGGGTAAGTATTGTGTAATATTTTTTGTTTTTAAGAACGCAAATTGTTATATTTTTATTTTTACTGTAACTGTAATACTTTTCGTTTATTTGGCTTTTTTCATTTCAAATAGGTATTGAATTGATGAAATTCCCTATCTTCGCCAAAGCTATTCAGAAATGTGATGCCGTCTTACGACCGCGCGGCATAGACATCATTAATATTCTAACAAACAAAGACAAATCTACCTTTGATAATATTTTGCATTCGTTCGTGGGAATCGCGGCAATACAGGTAAGTTGCGTATTACACAACAACACTTACATATTGCTTTCAATAAATTTTATTTTATGAAATGTAATTTTAACTATTCGCTAAAAGATTAATAAAAAATAATTGGCTAAGTAAAAATTATTTTTTTATTTAAAAATTATATTTAAATATTAAATTTATTTAATATTTAATTTTTATATAAAATTTACTTATATAAAATATACATATGTTTAATTATAAAAAATCAGAATTAGATATTGCATTATTTAAATTAAAAATCTATAATATTCAAACTTTTTAAATGTATCGAATTATTACACTCAAAATAGTCAACAAAATTGTTGTGTAATTGATAAATATTCAAATTTTGCATAAGGATTTTTAAATAAAAATAATTCCATGAAAAATTATCATATTTAAAAACTTCTTTTTTTCTCCTTAAGAATAAAATCTGCGCTTTAAGAAACATGTATTAGATTTTATGCATTATATGTATGTGTATACCTTGTATGAGCGTGTATACGTACTGCATATGTGTGCTTTGTGTTGTATGTATGTATCTATATGTGCGCGCGCAAAAAAATTGTACAAACTATTTCTTTTTTAATCTCTTAATATTTTACGATGATTATTATAAGATATGTAAAAAAAATGTATTCCAGCTCATAGGATAGAATTATGAAATTTTTTTTGAAGATATATGTATATCTTTACTTTTGAAGAGATGGCAAGAGAGAAGGATAAATTTAAAATCTAACAAATACTCTCTTTAAAGTAC